TTATACACACACACACACATACGTATACAGTATGTGTGTGTGTGTGTGTGTGTGTGTGTGTGTACGTGTGTGTGTATCCTTTTTTCCATTCCTAAATGGAATGGAAAAAAGGATACACACACACGTCCTGCGGGGGGACGATGTCTCTTCCGCGGCTCGGTACACTTTCAACTCGTTTTTTTTTTTTTTTTTTTTTTTGGGGAAGATCAACTTGTTTTTTTTTTTGTCTCGAGTAAGACACTGTATGACATTCACGTTACATGATTTGACTGATTTTTACGTAGAAAGGGTGACAGCGCACTCATTAAAAGAAATGACATAAGCGGTTTTCAGAACCGCTGGCCAAATTCAAAAACGAAACTAAAATTAAATGATCTTTGAGAGCAAGGGGGCCCCCTGGTGTTTCGGGGGCCCTACGCAGCTTGCGTACTTTGCATATAGGGAGGATCGGCTCTGCATAGCCTACATACATACACACATTACATACACACTAGGGGTGTGCGATATCGTCTATGATAATATCATAATTGTTATTTAAATGATCGAGTATACTGCAAAAACAAAACAAAAACACACTCAGAGAGTGCACTGAGATGTAGGTTAGACTTCTGCGCATGCATATTTACAGTTCACACTTTCACTGTGTGATTTAGTCTATTAGAATACGTTTAGAATTCCCCCATAATTCAAGATAAGTGGGGAAATATGCCCCCGTATGACTTTTATTTATATAATCTGATATAGTTAATATCAAACAATGAATACCGTTTTTTTCTCCAAATATCTGTACGATTTCAAATGTGATATTGATTTTACAAAACATTCTAATAAACAAGAAGTTAATATTAATTGACCTACATTTTAGACACAAGTTCCTTTTGCTCTATTTCGTCAGCGAAAATAGTTTCTAACATAGCCACAGCACAACTGTTCTCAAAGCGTCTCTGAGCAACACAGGACAGTAATGTTTTGTTACTAAATCAATCAGCTGTTTGAATTAATCGGTTGAATGAATGACTCAATGACTCACTCATGCAGTGATTTGTCACCACCTACTGCCGATTTTAGGTTTATATTTAAATTATTTTTCCTATTTTTCCCCAAAATCATTTCAAATATCAGCATTCAATGTTTTTTTTTTTAAACATCAAAAAATTATTTATGCATTTGTAACTGCAGGTTAACTGCATTCATGTCCTGCGTAAAACAGTCTGTGTAAATGCATCTAAATGCCACTTCAAATGCAGATTCTGTGCCACCTGTGCATTGCAAACACAAATTTTGTTGATACTGATTTAATTTGATTGCCCTATAGTGTCTTACTATTTGAATTTATTGGTTAGAATTTGACACAAAAGATGATGCATGATGCATATTAAGGTTAGACAAAAATTGTCCTTATAAAGGTAAAAATCCACATAAAAGGTAAAAATCAATTAAAATATATTGGAAAAGTTCATTTCTGTTACTCCTGCTAACCAATCACTGCACAGAATACATCAAAAGCTCTGAGAGTCAGCTGTCCACATCAGTCCTAAACATGCCAAAGTACCAGGTTAGAATTTGACACAAAAGATGATGCATACATTTTATTAAGGTTAGACAAAAATTGTCCTTATAAAGGTAAAAATCCACATAAAAGGTAAAAATCAATTAAAATATATTGGAAAAGTTCATTTCTGTTACTCCTGCTAACCAATCACTGCACAGAATACATCAAAAGCTCTGAGAGTCAGCTGTCCACATCAGTCCTAAACATGCCAAAGTACCAGCACAATAACACATTCAGCAAAATATCATCTAATTATCGTTATCAACAAAATTCCAGAAAATATCAAAGTATACATTTTTGTCATTATCGCACAAGCCTAATACATACACATACTGTATAATATGTATGTATGTAATATTCACATATGAATATATATATATATATATATATATATATATATATAGACATGAACCAGATGGAAACACTTGTCAGGGTGAATTTTTGAGAACTTTTGGAATTTTTATCACATATAGTGAAGATGCTCACAAATTACATCCTGCTGTGGACAAAGGAGACATTCTTTGGCAGAGATAAAGAGAATATTGCCTCTATTGAAAGATCACAGTTTGCTGCCTTTGATAAGACATCACTGAATTTTCATGCTCATTACAAAAATTATGTTTCAATGTGTGATTAATTTAATGACAAATTATGGCCCTTTTAAAATAATAATAACATAATCTCTCAAATTAAATGGTTATTATTAATACTTAGGCAGACAAAGTAATTCAATGTTGTATTACGGATGACAATTTGCCTCATGTTCAATTCAAGCTCTGCTTTTGCAGGCCATTAATGGCTGTTAATAGCAGTCTCTTTCATTTTACTGCAAAAGCTACTTATTTTCCTGTGCATGTTGGTGAATAGAATACACAAAAAGCAAGATTACCTGTATAATGTATAACTGTAAATTTTAACCTTGTCTCCTTTTTTTGTTGTAAATTTGACTATATAAACTATTGCCTTTTAGATTGTCCATTTTACAGCGTTCAGCTCAAATTCTTCAGATCATTCATATTCTAAAATTCTGAAAGTGAGCTGTGCTGAGCTCAGGCTATAGCCCTGAATGACAACCTTTATGACATTTAAACTGTATTTATACTTCCATTGATTTTCATGATGCAGAGGTGAGTTAAATTCTCAATCTCCATCTTGTCACTCACATCAATGAGATATTACACTACAGTAAATACATGTGAACCACAACAACCACAGTCTGCCTGAGCACGGATCCACTGATAATTATGATGGGAGTTATTGGACTGATTCTTCACGCAGTCAAATTGAATGCCTTCTAATCTTCTCCTGCTTTTTCTGAATTATTCAAAGAGATCTTGAAGCAATAGAGGCGTCTCGACAGCAAGCAAAGCTCCCTATGAGAGAGCTTCAGATAATGTGAAATGAATGATGAAATTCTGGGAGCTGAAATGTAAGACTGATGTGATGCGTGTTCAAAGGTGGGACCCGGGTCCCCAGGCCCCTGGGGGGCTCAACCAACCTCTTTTTAACCAGGGATGAATATGCTGTACCCTCTTTGGCAAAATTAACCAAAATCTATTTCCACATTCACATGGCATGCGGGCATGTCAGGGAAAGAAAAGGCTCTTTGTTCAGAATTATGGGGGAATCGCATGACTTTTCATGCGAGGAAAAACCCTAGATTGAAATCTCAAGTCAATTAATAGATTAAACACATTTTTCTAAAATAGGTTACTCATTTTTGTAGGAGGCATTTAGGGGGCCATTTAGTTAATGCATGAAATAATTCACGCCATGATGTAATGTTCATTCCTTTTTATCTTGAAAGGAAACTGGCTTATCTGCCTTTAAATAAAGTTAATAGCACATCAACAAACAAATAGCTTTAAATACTGTGATGTTCTTCGATTAATATTGATGACATGCTACTTGACCTTGGTACTTGAGTGTGATTAAATAAAACAATAAAAGGAATATGCGCATAATTATGTTTATAGTTCAGTACCTTGCTGTAAAACAAATATAAAACTTCTCTGTGAACTCAAAATGGAAATTTATTTTTAGTGCAGTTCTCATGCAACATGCTTGTAAATCATAACCAGCGCTTAAGTACAAGACTTGAAAGGTTTCCCAAAGTTAAAAGCAAAATTAGATGTTGCGGCCTTGCCTGGTGACTGTAGCCATAGAAAGATATGTTTCAGATTTCTGCTCAGCCATCTGATATATATATATATATATATATATATATACTGTATATATAATGCGTTTTGGGCATTAATGTACTAATTGATATAAATTCTACTTTAAATGTAATAATGAACTGTGTGTGTGTGTGTGTGTGTGAGAGGGTGTTCTGGTGAAGTACGATCTCTGCAGGTCATACAACTGTAAAAAGGTGTAGCCTGCAGCCATTTTTACCTGATAAGAATGTATTTTGCTGGTATAAATTGATATTTTGGTTGATTCAGTGATGCTAAATAATATTTTTCTCAGTATACACATTCCCCATATTCATGTTGAAACAGACACAATGTATTTTCTGAAAAGTACAAATAAAAAGACAGGTGCAACAAAACTAATTGATGGTGCTTGTCTACTATCAAAAACATTTTATTTTTGTAATTATATTGAGCAATGCAAGTTCCGTCCATACTGTACCGTTAACATCAGCATGAGAAAATCTCCATGGATTTTCAAAGACATAAGCATCGTTCCCATTTCCCATTGTGATCTCAAATAAAGTATCCAAACATCTGAGAGCAATTGAAGTGTCTTGTGAAATCCATTCTTCCCTCCAAGCATTGATTTATTATGTGAATTACAAATCTACATGTTTTGTTTTTAATAAAGAAGACGTGCTTTTGTGCTTTTATTAAAAATCATGAGGTACAGGGTGGAATAACTATGGAATAAAATATGTCTACATTTTTAATTAAATAGCCTAAGTAAAGTACGTAAAAGTATTCAAATAGAAACTTAGTTTACTAAATAATAACAAAATACTGCTGGGGTAGCAAATCAGATGAATAACACTTATTTTCTAGTTATTAGGTTAGTTAAATGCTGTCCAAGAACATTAAAGTACATATTGACACATCGTTTTTGAACAAAAATATATTTCCCTCATAGAAAAAAATAATAATAATCTTTAATTTGCCGATGATGGTGATGATGGAAAAAACATTGCATGGGACTGCTGAGTGATATTCCTCCAGTAACCTTTTCATCTTAAGACAGAAATCTTTCCTTTTAAACAGTGATTCGTTTGGAGTCGAGCAAGATCAGAAAACGTTCGCTTCATCCAGTGACTCGCATTATTCAACTCTCTATCTATTCCATTCAAACGGTAACTCAAACAGTTCGAACGCGTTCTTCTTGCGAATCGGCTCGATTGATTCCTTTAAAAGAACCACTTCAAACGAACGAGTCGTTCACGCATGGACGCTGCTCTCGCGATATAAACTTTTCCCGGTTACCTGAGGAAACGAGAGTTTGATTCAAAGTGTAACCCCGTCTACGATAGCAGCCAAAACCCATCCTAATAACAGCAGGTAGAGTAATGCAAATCAGTTAAGTTACCTTTAATTCTGTGGAGTTTACCGATTAAAAATCCGTTTCTTTATCTATGTTATGGAATACTGGCGATGTTTATGTAATTATTTACCCGTTGTCCGTTAGCTGTGGAAGTATATGCTGCGTGAGGTCAGCTAGCAACAGCAACAAACCAGCTTATTTTTTTCGTAATTTAGCGATGGTTGTGTTTAAACACTTTCTTTAGGTTTATGTGTGGAATTGTGGAAAAAAATAAGGTGAATTTAAATAAGAAAATATTTTCAGTGTGTTCTCCAGTTTCGTCCTCCGTGGTGGGATGTTTAGAATCCAGTAAACGTCGCAATACCATGGTCATTAATACTGTAAAATCATGGTAACGTTAGAGTAAAATGCGAAATCCGTAAAACCTTACTGCCATCGAGTTAATTACAGAAGAAGCGAACACCAAGTTAAAAAAACTTCAGTAACACTAAAAGTGGAAAGTTATGTTTTGGTAGGACCTAAATCACTATGGTAATTTTTGTAGAGAATAAATTAATTCAAGGAGCTTGGTTGAGAGAGAAGTAGCAGCAGCAGCTGTTTTATGTTCTTTTTGGCTGGTGTGTATGCATGAAAAATAAATAATTATAATAATTTCAGTAAATTATTTTCCTGCTAAAACTTTAGCAATTGTCAGATGTTTCAAATTCCACATATTTCCATGTGTTAGAAAAAATATATATTTCATTAACAATTTATGTGTTTTATATTTTCATATGCATTAATAATCATAATTTCTTGACACAATGGCATACAGTAATTGTTTAGTACGTTACAAAGAAATATTTACAAAACATAAAGATGCATGTATATAAATTGAATTAATGAGCAGTAATTTGTGAATTGCTTGGTGTGTGTTTTGACTGTCCTCTCTGCTTTATTCTTTAGCTTATTTTTATCTTTTTTGGGTGGATCTTGGCTGCATGAAGCAAACCAGACATGGCATCACCACAAACACTTCAGCCTGTCCTGAAGATGAAGGTCGACGAGCTCTTCCTCTTTTGGTTGAGTGAGCCAAGTACTCAGGCGATGCTAAAAGACTACCTGAACAAAATCAAGAACGGGGAAGAAATAGATCTAAGCCACGCTGATTTCAAGGGCACAAGCACATTGGTATTAACAGAAAACAACAACAACATCTTTGCCTCGAAGATTAATGCGACAGAGAGGATGACTGTGACCCTTGGTGCTCCGTGCAGCCCTCCTTCAGCAACCCTGCCATCTGCGAGTGGCAGCAATAACAGAGCGGGAGTGAATGCGAGGACCTTGCGATGCTCTGTCAGCACTAAGAAGGTAAAGCATCTGTGCTTTCACCTGTGCACCTGAGTTTAAAAAAAATGTGGGAGAGAAACAAAAATTGATCAAATAATTAATTTTTTTCCTTAATAAAGGGAGACATTTACATGCAAAATTAATTATTACAAAAGTACAACTTTAAAATATTACTGCCTCAAACTGTATTTAATAATTATGTAATTATTTATTGGCCTACTTTTTTTTTTTTCTTTGAAAAAAATGTTTTTATATACATTTTACATTTTGCACACATCTGTTTTTAGTTGCAAATGCACGTGAAAAGCTTACGCTGTTGAGCCCTGATTAGTCTAAAGAAATGTTTTATATTTACTTTAATATTAGACAATCTCAATTCTATTAATCCCTCATTTCACGCAAACATAATCGGATTTATTGTATTTTTCCACTAGTATTTCATGTGGTAAAAAGCATTTGCCAAATGCATTTCTACATGTTAATATAGAAACAGTAGAACATTTCAAGAAATGGTCTCATATATGATGGTCCTACACGTTTTATTAACAGCCAGTTTACCACTGAGAGAGGGTTAAACCACTTTTTCTCAGTTTAGCCACAAGAGGATGCTGAATGGCTTTTGCATCTTCTGGTCAGTGGATGTAGGGCTCCTGCTCTGGTCAGATGAGCTCTGTGAACCCTGCATGTCTTTTGTGTAAAGAAATCGTGTTCATGTGTGGCCAGTGGTTGGCGAATCTCTATGCTGTCAATCCCTGGAATGGTAATGACTCTGTCATCATGCGCTGTCCAGCGATGCTGGTGGACTTTGCTGCTGAGGTTTCAGAGCCCATAAATTGGATTGTGCATGGATATCTTTAATTAAAGATATCCATGCACAATCCAATTCAATCTTTCCTTTCTCTTTGAAGTGTTACAAGCTCTTGGTGCATAAAGAAGATCTGTAAACTTGCAAAGACTAAAGTCTCAAATCCAAAGAGATATTCTTTATAAAAGTTAAGAGTCAACCACGCCTACCTAAAATGGCTCGTTCTAACACGCCCCCACATACCTACGTCACTATGTGGGAAGATTTGCATAACGCCGCCCAAATGTTCACGCAAAGAAAGAAGGTGTAACTTTTATTCTCGCTGTAGTATTGTTGTTGCCGCCGCCATGTTGTCAAGGCACTGTGTTAAACACATTTCATTACACCAAATACACAAAATAATGTTCTTAAATGTTTAGCAGCATCATATGACCCCTTTAAAGCAGTGCCTCCATGATACTTCCTGCTGTCAGAATCACATCATTGTGTCATTAAATTCACACATATCTTATTGGCCCAATAAGAGGAAGCTGATATCAAGAAGGCTTATTCATAAGTAACATTGATAGTTCGATACACCTGTGGAAATGAAAAAGATTATGAGATAAAATTAGCTTCTGATGTGAAACGCTAGAAGTCCCTGTAATGTGGACACAGCACAACAGAGTTCATTTTCTTTGACATTTTGTCCGGTTTGTGTCTTTGAAAAGTCTTATTTCAGTCACATGCCAAATTTGTTCAAAGCTTGAGGAAAGATTCCTTAAGGATGACAAATAAAGTTGCATTTTGAGGAAAGAAATCTGTTTGTAGTGAATGTAAATGTGAATGTAAATCATGATGAGTAGGGACATTATCTGAGTCTGACTGGTGTGATTCTTTATTCTTTATAGTGTTTATCATTTCATACCCAGCTGCTTTTACGCTCAAGATGGCGGCGCGTTCACACGCTGCGGCTTCTCTCTCTCCCGACAGAAAGGTGTTTTCGTGTTTTTTGTCTTGTGAGTCGCAGTGTTTTTGTACGTATTCGTCGCGTCTATCTGTCTCTAAGCGCGCATACAGTCGTGAGTTTCTGCTCGATGTCGGCAGAACCACATTTTTAGAGTTAAACTCTGCGCACGCCGAAGAGCTGCGGGATCTCGGTCTGCTCCGGAGGCCCACAGCATCACCGACCCCCACTACTGCATCTCGCCCACAGCGGAGGCGCCACAAGCGGCGTGAGAGGAAGCAGAAGAGGGGTAAGCGCGGAGGTATCCGGGCTAGGCTAGCGGCTAACCCACACAAGCCAGCTATCCCCACCATCGTACTGGCTAACGTACGCTCTTTGGACAATAAACTGAACTACATCCGACTACTACGCTCAACTCAGAGGACTGTAAGAGACTGTTGTGTTTTTGTGTTCACGGAAACATGGCTCAACAACAGCGTTCCGGACTGCGCTATTCATCTCGATCAGCTGACATGCTATCGAGCGGACAGAGCTCGCGTCGAGGGAGGTAAGACCCGCGGCAGAGGGCTTTGTGTTTACATCAATGATGCGTGGTGCCGCGATGCTGTTGTGGTCTGCAAACACTGCTCAACCCTGGTGGAGCTTATGATTATTAAGTGCCGGCCGTTCTATCTACCGAGGGAATATACAGCCATACTGCTCGTTGCTGTATACATCCCTCCCAG